GACCATATTAGTGCTCCTCAGTCACCCTTAAATCTAAACAATCAGTGCACCTCATCAAAACATCTTATGAGCCCCGGGGCAGTGGCGTACACCTGTAATCCCAGAACTCTGGGAGGCAAAGGCAGGAGGATCACTGTGAGTTTGAGGCCAGCCTGATCTACAAAGAGAGTCCAGGACAGCCAAGGCTACACAGAGAAACCCTGTCTTGAAAAAAGCTAAAAGAAAGAAAGAAAAAGAAAAAAACCCAAACCAAACATCTTACAATTTTTATTTACAAAAGAAAAAAATTTTTTTTGACAGTTTCTAACCCAGGCTGGCCTCAGATTCACTATGAAGCTGAGGCTGCCCTTGAACTTGTGATCTTCTGACCCTCCTGAGTTGGATTACAGCCCCACCACCAAGCCTGCCTTATGTGGTGTTGGGAATGGAACCCAGGGGATCCCAAGTGACAACAGGAAGTCCTTTAAGGGGAGCAACCAGATTACACATTCCTGTTTCCCTTTTAAACTGAAAACTTAAGCTTTGCTTAATCTTTAAACGTTGTCATAAATGTCTTTCTTTCAGCAACGTAAATAGAGCGTACATATTTAAAGGCACACATGTGCACTCACTGAAAGACATACACACAGACACTCATACAAGGTCTGAGAAATGTGCATTTATGTAGCACTTGCTGTGTGCCAGGGTCTTGTAGACCTTTGCCCTCGTAAACGCCTCATGGATACAGGGGAGGAAGCATCTACCCAGAGAGGCAAAGTCACCCATCCAGGGCCACACAGCCTAGGCCAGGATCAGATGGGCTCCCCGTGGAGTCGCTCCCCCGTGTCTTCCCAGAAGCCACGGAGGCACAGAGCGCGAGGAGGCTGGGTACAATGAGGCAGTTTGTATACCTTGGTCCTGAAAAGAGCTGGCTTTCTTCCCAGAGACTGGAGGCTCCACCCTGCCAAAGACCCGCTTCAATCAGGCTCTTCTGGAATTCTCCCTAGGGCAGAAACCTGAGGCCAGGTGGGGTGGGAGCCCGTCTCCTCAGATGACCGTTACCATGGGCACAGCCACTCGAAGCGCTTAGCCTCGGGGCAGCTGGCCTGGCAGCCTGCGGGTGTGGCCTAGCCACAGCTGGCCAGGGGACACTTCAGAGGTGGCACAGGGAGGGAGAGAGGACGTTAGGGCTTTTTAACCAGGGTCCCTGGGTGGTTGCTGGTGTGGCTCAAGGTCTGTGTAAATGAGTCTGAAGCAAGGTCTAGGGTGGTTTTTGGAGACGAGGTCTCAGGTGTTCCGGGCTTGCTATGAATTTGTCATGTAGCTGAAGATGACCTTGAATTTCTGATCCTCCTGCCTCCACCTCCCAAGTCTGGGGTAATAGGCGTGTGCCAGCCACCACATCCAGTCTATGGGATGCTGGGGCTTTGCCTGTCAGGAGAGTGTTCTATCGACTGACCCAGCACCTGGACCACAACTTGGAAGATACCCCACCCCACCCCACCACGTCTGGCCACAAAGACAGGTGATGAAGGTGCCCAGGCCCGTGCCAGCAGGGAAGAGCCAGGAGCTGTTGTGACGGGGAAGGACACAGCTTCTCTGGAGTCCGTAACAGGGGCCTCCCTGAGCACCTGGAGAAGAGCTGCTTACGGTGTGAACTTGACAGAAGCCAAACCCTCCTGGCTGAAGTCAGCACCCAGACAGCATCTTCCCAGGACCATCAGGCTCTGGCTACATGGGCCTCTCTTTCTCCCTAAGACATAACTCCTGTCTGTGGGCGTGGCTCAGTGGTAGAATTTGCCCGGCAGGTAAAAGCATTAAGTTTACCCCTTGAGCTACCAGGAAAGACAGAATGCTCTCTCCTTTCCAGCTCCAAGGCCTTTGCACTAGCTATTACCAGCCTCTCGCCGTAACCTGGAACTAGGTAGACCAGGCTGGCCTCAATTTCAGAGATCTTCCTGCCTCTGCCTCCCCAAGTGCTGGGATCACAGATATACACCAACACACCTGGCTCCTGGGATGTTCTCTCTCTTTTTTTTCCTTTATTTTTTCAAGACAGGGTTTCTCTGTGTAGCCCTGGCTATCCTAGACTCACCGTGTAGACCAGGCTGACCTCGAACTCACACAGATCGTCTGCCTCTGTGAGTGCTGTGATTAAAGGCCACACCACATGGAGTCCTGGGATGTTCCTTATTGATGTGTTGGCATGGGCTCTGCTGTGTGGTTAAGAACAAGTGAACATGCTGAGGTTTAGCTAATTACCACGGGAGCTAAGCTGTCTCTTCAGGAGCTCTGGCCAGGCGGCAGAATAACAATAAAAAAATATATATATTAGCAAAGGTGGATGCTGACCATCTCCCATATATCAGGCATTTTATTAATTTTTTTTTGTTTGTTTGTTTGCTTGTTTTTCGAGACGGGGTTTCTCTGTGTAGCCCTGGCTGTCCTGGACTTGCTTTGTAGACCAGGCTAGCCTGGTCACAGTGATCCTCCTGCCTCTGCCCCCCAAGTGCTGAGATCAAAGGTGTGCGCCACCACCGGCGTTTTATTAATTTTTTAAAAATCATTTTACTATATGAATGTTCTGCCTGTATGTGTGCACCACGTGCCCTGCAGTGCCCGCAGAGCTCATAAGAGGGCGTAAGATCCCAGGGAACCAGAGTTGCAGAGGGTTGTCGCCCTCAGTGTGGGGACTGGGAAAAGAACAGCCATCTCGCCAGCCCTTTTATTTATTTATTTATTTGCATTAGGCATTTTCCATAATCCTGAAAAGTAGGGATGCTCCTGTGGGGAACCTGCGCCTCCGGACTTACATCCAAGACCTGTCGGGTGCTCAAGGTGGAGAACCCGCAACAGTCAAAGTGACGGGACTTTTCTCCTCCAGCCAGAAGGCGGAAGCTAGCTGTGCCCGCCCACTGTGGGCGTGGCCACCCGCGGGTCGTGGGAGGGGCTGACAGGCCCCGCCCCTGGCCTCCCAGCGGGGACGCGTGCGGACAGCGCCACCTACAGGACACGCGGGAACTGCGGGCACGGTTCCGTTGGCGGAGCTGGGATCCGTCGGTTCCGGGAGCAGCGGCGGGGGGCGGGGCTCTATACTTGGTCACACTTCACACGCGCTCCATGGGGCGGCGCAGCTTTAACACGCTCGCTAAGCAGCTCCAAAAGCTGCAGTGGAGCCGCAGACACTGGTAATATTTAACCTTAGGACCTCGGCGTTACAGATAAGGAAACCGGCCTAAAGCGTGGGGGGAGCTTCGGTAACAAGCACGCGAGAGAAAGAGTTCGAGACTAGACATTTTAATTGAATGACTCAACAAGCAAATAGATCGCGCTTATCCTCGGCACTGTTTGCGTGTCTTAGCAGTAAAGGGTTATTTGGGGGTTGCTTGGGGGTTTCAAGACCATAGACTCGCTGTCTGTCGGGCCATGAAGTCAAGTGGGAGTCCCCTAGGGGGAAGCTGTTTTCTTCTCTGATAAGTGGGGTTTTCTGCTATTTTAAAGCACATTTGCTGAGCCTGGTATACAGTATGTGCTCAATAGGTGCTTTTTCTCTCCCTGCCCCAGGCAGACCTCAGTGCCCCAATGACAAGGATGAGCTAGCTGCCTGTCTCTGGGCTCAAAAATCTCCTAGCAGATGCCCGGAGTGATGGAGGCTGGCCGTGGGCAAGTCTTTCCCTTTTGAGAATGTGCCCTCCTGACCTCATGGTAGTACATCTGAGCTAGAAGGAAAAGACAGGAGTCTTTTTATTTGTTGGCAAAGTGTTCTATTTCTAGGAAGCCCAACCTTCAGAAGCAATTAGAGTGTAGGAAGAAGGGTGGCATTCTGAGTTTCAGTGATATTGGGATATATCATGAAGTGGGAGGCAGTGAACAGCTTGGTCCAGGCTTCCATCTCTCCACCATGTTGGAGACAAGTCTTCCAAACTGCGGATCTGGATGGTGCATGAGCCTCCTGAGGGGATCCATAATTTTGGGGGTGAAGCTCTAATGCCATAGCAACAGTGTGTGATGCATACATCTGAGTCCACTCTAGGTCACACCATTGTGTCCGTGCTCTGGAGTGTCCCCTTCCCTACCACCCCCTGACTTTCATCATGGATGCTCAATGCAAGACTGACTCCTCAAAATGCATCCCCAGATGTGGCATTTTACCTGCGGCCCTATCTCCCTCTGGGCACTGACCCACCTTGTACACTAAGATTGTTCAGTGGTCAAGGGAAGTATTTCCCTCTCCATGTAAGCCTAGTATCAGAAAAAGCAAGAGGGCTGCTCAGAGGGCTGGACAGAAACCTAGGCGAATGAAGAACATACTCTCCCCTCCTTTCTAGCCAATGGATGGACATTTTTCAGCTTTTATAAGGAATCATGATTCCCTCTTCCTCCTCCTTTTTTGCTCAACAATGTTGCTCTGTAGCCCAGGCTGGCCTTGAACCCACAATCCTACCTCTGCTTCTGAATGCTGAGATTGCTGCTACATGCCACCAGGCTAGCTCCTGTATTTGTAGAGGAGCGACATGTGTGATTTTTCTGTGAAACCAAACTCTCTTAGCTTCTCTTATGTGGCCATAAGTTATAGTTTTTAAACCAGAGACCAGAAGACAGGTCCTTGCAGGATTTGGTTTGGGTGTCCCTGTTCTAGTTTGCTTTCTATGGCTATGGCTGAACCTCTGACCAAAAGCAACTTGGGGGATGAAGGAATTTATTTGGCTTACAGGTCTGTCCACCAGAGTGAAGTCAAGGCAGGAACTTGGAGACAGGAACTGAAGCAGAGACCACAGGAGAACGATGCTTATTCCTATGTTTCTTACACAGCTCAAGGTCTCCTGTCTGGGGACGGTAGTCCCCAGGGTGGCCTGGGCCTTCCTGCATCAACTAGCAGTCAAGAAAATGCCCTACAGATGTGCCCACAGGCCTATTAGAAGGAGGCAATTCCTCAACTGAGGACATTCCCTGCCATGCAGCCCCCAATTGTAACCTTTGATACAGAAATAATAAAAGGGAGCCACAGAAGTATACAGATATGATTTCAAAATAGAGATTTATTTATTAAGGATTATTTAGTTTCTGCATAAAAATCACCAATTGTTCCTCATTGGGTTTTTTTTTTCTTTAACATACATCAATTCTTTTAGGGTGTGTTTACCCCAATACTTTAAAAAATACATCTCCTTTAGCGCCAGAAAGACAGTTAAGGCAGCAAGGCAGTTTCTTGGGTCTCCAGGGCTGGAAGCTCCCATGACAGGCAGGTTCTTAGGTTGGAAGAGCCAACCCTGAAGAAAATAATTATGTGGAACATGCAAATGCAGTCACGTATGGCCACCTGTGTGTGCCCAGTCAATGTCTGAAAAGGCTTGCTGGTACATTTCGGCTTTTAAAAAAAGCAAAACCTGTCTGACAGAAGACAGCAAGAGAGAGAGAGAGAGAGAGAACAGGGCTGGTAATGCCAGATGTGGGAGCCGTGAGGACTCCTGCCAGCTTGCTTTCAAGCAGCTGCCACAATAGGGACCTGTTGACTTCCAGGCAGATCTGTTGTCCTCCGAACACCTAAGACATCCTTGGGCCAGAAGGAGCAGACTTCTTGGCTGGGTGAGGTGTATGTCTCCCCTGAGCTGGGTTTCTCCTGAGCTGGGTGGGGGAGGAAAAGACAAAACCCTAGGAATCGATCGTTAGCGAGGTTAGTTGATTTTGACCACACTGGAAGGAAGGTGTGCTCAGCCTGAGCTGCTGGGAAGCTGGAGTGAGTGGAAGGTGTTTATTGCTCCATTAGAATAGGCCAAGAAAACAAAAACCAAAAAAACAAATGCTCTCTAATAAGCTGAGGCTGCCCCCTGCAGACCCAGGCTGGCCTGGCGGCTGAGCTGGGGACCCCAGCTTGATTCACAGTGATTCCGGGTTGCTTGCTCCCGCGTTGGGGGTGTGTGTCCGGGTGCCTACACTGTGTAGTCAAGCTCCGCGTTCATCTTGGTGTACATGTCATAGATGGCGTCGATGGTGGCCGTGTAGTTGACCAGGAAGAGGCGGATCTTCTCCAGGCACTCCTCCTCCGTCACGTTCTGCCCCTTGGAGAGTGCCTTCAGGAAGTCAGACTTGTAGGGCGCTGCATACAGGGCTGCCTTGAGGGTCAGGAGGGAAGGCAGGCACAGCATTAGTGGGGGAGGATCAGGCCAGCACATTGTGCACCAGGGGTGTCCCTGAGAGTTGTGCTGGGAAGGTCTCTCTGCTCGTGTGGTTGGAAGGGAAAAGAAAAGAGGAGGCTGCAGCGTGTGTCTGAGTAAGCTTCTTAGCTACATCCACCCAATTTGGTTGCTTGTGTTAAGGTTAGGGAGGTGATGGCCAGGCAAGGTGGTACACTTCTCTAGTCCCAGCACTTGGGAAGCAGAGGCAGGCGGATCTCTGTGAGGTCGAGGCCAGCCTGGTCTACACAGTGAGTCAGCCAGGGCTACATAGGGAAAGCCTGTCTCCCAAACCACACAAGATAACAGTAAGGGAGCTCCACACGGCCCGAGGCACGCTGATGCTCGGGACAGCCCCAGCGCACACCTCACCATCCTTAAGGGTGATACCTGGCTAAATTTGGGAATGTGGGGGGGGGGGTGCTTCAATACTTCAGAACCTTGGAGGCAGAGGAAAAAGATACAGCTAAATAAAACACCCAGACCCTGGTTTGTGGGGTGAGGGGATCATCCATGATGAACTCAGTAACTGCTTTGGGGTCCTGAACCTAAGCCACGTCTGTACATGTGCAGACTGACTCCTCTTCCCAGAGAAGCTGAGGCAGGGCCTGTTCACACACTCATGTGAGCGGTGAGGCCACTGGGACTCAGGGAGGCAGGCTCCCAGGTGCTCATGTTGTTTCTGAGATGGGATCTGACTCTGTTGCCCGGGCTAGCTCAGAACCCCTGTGCTCCATGATCATCCAGGGAAGAGGTGCGGCTGCCAGCCAGGCCCAGGCCCGGGCCGACTGCTGGGACCTTGGGATCAGCACAGGACAGAATGTGAAGCAGTGCCCACTCTCGGTGCATTCGCAGGCAGCCGGGGCAGCACACGATACTGTCACTGCTGAGGAGTGCTTGCAAGGGCTCAAAGGAAGACACAGCGGGGACGCTGGGACTCAAGATGACCTCCAGCCCCAGGCATGCCCAGGGAGAAGGCCCGAAGGTAGCCATTCTTCCTGCCCCATTAACTACTCTTCCTGACTGGACCCATCCTGCCTTGGGACCTTTCCTGTCAGAGCCTGCCTTCCTGGGGAAGGAGGGGTAGTCTGATGAAGACATCTTAACAGGCAGGGTAACCATGGACATTTGGAAGGCCTTTGGCTATTTCTTCCTTTAGCCTTCCAGCCTGATGGACCCAGGGCCTCTCTGCTACCCAGGCTGGCACTAGAGCCTTTTTCAAGAGCTGTGGTCACTATCACCACAACACAGGCCACAGTAACCCAAGGGCCAGAATCTTGACAGCAGCTATCTCCTGGGGGGCAGAGCCCTCCTTCTCCTTTCTGCCTGGTGTGAGAGCCCAGGTTGAAAGAGAAGCAAGGAGGCTAGTGCACAATCACCCTATGGTTCCTGGGCTTGCAGTTGTGTCTCTTCTCAAAGCTGTGGAACCAACAGGCTGAGGTACCCACAGGAGCATGAAGGCGCATCTGCAGCCACAAACGGGGTTGGCCATGGCTGCATGAGGAGACTCAATGCACCAGCCCACCCCAAAGAACGGGTGAGCACAGGGCAGCGGGAGGGAAACCCAGTCCTCTTCCCCACGGACTCACCTTGAAGATCTTCTGCACCAGCCAGCCGTGGTACTTCTTTAGGGCCATCTCATAGGCCTTGTTGGCGTTTACCCGGATGAGGTTGGGGTGGTTCTCATCCCGTTCCCCATCGCAGATGCTCTGCAGGAACACCTGGATGAAGCGCAGGCCCCTGTGGTTAAAGGAACAGCCATTTAGGATCGTGGCCCACAGAAGTTTGTATACACGGGAGTACCACCCCCCTAGCTGACCTAGGTCGGCTCTGCTTCTGGGCAATGTGACAACCCAGCTCAACCCAGATCTGCAGCAGCGTGCCTCTAGGCAGAACCTATTCTAGGTCCTTCTGGACACCTATGGCTTAAAGGATAGAGCAAGTGTGGATTAGAGTGTTCAAAGGTCAGAAACATGTCAGGCACATGGCCTGCCCAAGCTGTTTGCCTCAACTGCAGGATCTTTCTGAATTTGTCCATGGAGCTAGCTGCCTGTGTCTGCACAATGAACCTGTCCTAAGGGCTTCATGGGGTACAGCAGGAAACCTGAATAGAAAAGATGCTCACTGCCAGCCAGTGACTTCCTGTTTCCTGTCAGCCACAAGGTGAGTAGCTTCTTCCACACAGTGCTGTCTTGCCTCAGCCCATGGTCAGGGGCCGTGGGCCAATAGGAACCTAACCTTTCCTTCTCCTTCCCCTTCCCTTTCCCTTTCCCTTTCCCTTTCCTTTCCATCTGGCTCATTCTGCGATGGCCACAGAAGTGTAATACATACAAGGCCATATCTTACTCCCTTCAAACACATGGGGCCCAACTGGGCATCATCCTCCACAGCCAGGAGCCCTCTCAGCCTCTCACAGCCTCCCGCCTCCTCTGCTCCTCACACCCAACTGGATCCCAAACAAATGCCTCTGCTCCCTTCCTGCACGGCTGGGGGCAGCCCAGGCAAGGCCTTTGCAACACAGTGTTGAGAGCAGGGCTCCATCCCAGCTTGTCCCAGCTGGAGGCGTCTCCACATGACAGGTGCCTGTCACACTCCATCTGTGGGAGGCTCCAGAGCCAGCACGGCCTTCCTGGTCGCCCACAGGCCCACATGTGACTTAGATATGAAGAGCGTCATCACTTGCCTTGCTACTGCTAGATAAAGAGACTAGGGAGTGTCCCTCAGGACAGGCCGTCAAAGCCCTGCTGACAAGGTCAAGCTGTGTGCTGCGACAGCTACTAAAGCAACCCTACCTGATGACTACCAGGCCCCATGGTCTGGGAGGCCAACTTCCCCAGGTCCGTTTCACCAGAGAAGCAGGTGTTGATTTCATGGATCAAGCTGTCCTTCTGGGTCTTGGCCCAGAACCCTAAGATGTCAACCGTAGAAAGCCCTGTGGGGTTCAGCAAGGCAAAGCAGGGGTCCCTGGCTTCTCAGTGGCTGCTGGAATCACACAGCTAGAGAATTCTAGAGCTAGTAGACCACTGGAAAGAGTCAAAAGGGATACACCTGTGCAAACTTACTAGCACTCCCACTGTAGTTCTGTCAAGAGACTCATAAAGCCAGGTGTGGTAGCACTTGCCTTTAATCCCAGCACTCAGGAGGCAGAGGCAGGTGGAACTCCTTAAGTTACAGGCCAGCCTGGTCTAGAGTTCCAAGAGAACAGGGCTAAACAGAGAAACCTGACCCTCCCCCTCCCCCCCAAAAAAAGCAAGCGACTCATACAGAAATCCACCTGTGTACGACGCGGCTACCTCTGTGAAGCATACAACCTAAACTGCTGTGCTCAGATGACCTGGATTGTGACTTGACCTTCCGATGACCCCGTGACCCCCTCAGTGAGAGGGGAGATGCCACATCTGACTCACTGCAGATGAAGAACTGAGAGCGGGACTATGGCTGGGACATGACTTCTTCTGCCTCCTTGGGGGCTACAAGAAGGACGTGTCACCAAGAGTCTGACCTCAGCCTTGGCAAGTTTCTGTTTTGTGACAGTGTTAGCATCCCCGGCCCAACATGGCCCAGCCATGCCCCCGAGCCCCTCACCTTTTCAGCCACAGCAGTGCCAGCGTGGCCCCCACTTTGGGCCACTCTGCTCCATACATCCCCTTCTCCACCTCCAGGATGTTCTGCAGGGTCTTGAACTTGGCCGGGTCAGTGTCATATACGGCTTTGATCTTCTGTAATGGAGCACAGAGGTTTGCACATCACAGACCGCCCCGCAGACAGCTTCCACACAGCTCATGGGTACTGGTGCCACCCAGGACCCTAACACCGTTCTTGGAGCCAATCAATGGATTAGAACGCTGAGGCTGGGGTAGTGACTCATCAACGGTACAAGGGTAGTAACGTATCAAAGGTCACAGGTTTGGGACAGGGAGAGAGGGCCCCAGCCTGACTAGGGACCTGAAGTTCCACAGTGAAGACGAATGGACACAGGCAAAAAGGTTTTAGAACTATCCAGGCAAAACAGCCCCCAAACTGGCACCAGGTCAGTCTGCTAGACTGGCTGAGTATAAATCCCACCACCATCACTCCCTTGCTGTACGACCTTAAGTGAGTCAGCCACCAAGCTGAGCTTCAGGCTCAGTCCGTGTGTGTGAAGAAAGGAACAGCAGAACCAGGCACAAAGTCCTCTGCCTTAGAGAAAGGAGACTGCCCTGTGCGGCCCTCAGTGTGCTTGAAGGAGCCATGCTGAGGCCATGCACTGGACATCTTGTTCTATTATTGGGGGTGGGATGTCTAGCCTGGATCCTCAGGCCTCAGCCTGAGTGGTGCTGGGATTGCAGGATTGCCTGCATGATGCTGTCTAACTGGAGTTGTGGGGGTGGAGGGGGGGCGGTGAGTAGGGTGTGTGTGTGGGGTGCTGGGAACCAAAGTCCAGGCCTCTGAAAGAGCAGCAAGCACCCTTGACCAAGGAGCCATCTCTACAGCCCTCTGTCTTTATTTTTTTTTAAAAGAATAATCTTGTTTGCTTATTATTTATATAGTATTCTGCCTGCATGTGAGCCAGAAGGTCAGAAGAGGGCACCAGATCTCATTACAGATGGTTATGAGCCACCATGTGGGTGCTGGGAATTGAACTCAGGATCTTTGGAAGAGCAGCCAGTGCTCTTAACCTCTGAGCCATCTCTCCAGTCCTCCATGTTTAACTTTTTAAGACATGGCCTCTCTCTGGCTAGCAGATGACCAGCCAGGACCCACCTCTCTCCACTCCTCCAGCGCTGGGTTATTCTTGTACTAGCCCTGTTTTTATGTGGGTTGTGGGTTCTAACTCAGGACTGCACTTTGTAAGGCTGAACCATTTCCCCATCTCTGGAGTTCTCACTGGGTGAGATCGGTGGCAGAGTGTCAGGCCAGTTCTGGATTTCTGCTTCCAAGGGGACACTGAGAATCTTGGCCCTGCCTGGGTGGGACTCGGACTCCATGTCTCCCGGCCTCTCCCTGTCCTCAATCTAGGCACTGGGCAGAGCTCAGCCGCCCGGCGGGCCACTCACCGTGATGTTACCACTGATGTCTGCCTTAATGGGCGTGAACACCGGGGACCCAAGGCAATCTGGGAACAGAACGAGAAGAAAAAAAAATTATACTTCCACCCAAAGTGGCATTCAGGACACCACAGGCTGCATGTTAAGGGGCCAGGGAGAACTATTTATAGCTGTTCGGAAGGTTGTACGGTCAAGTGAGTTCAGCGGATGCTGGGCTCTGGACTGGAGCAGACTGTCACCCAGAACTGGTCAGAGCCTCTGATGGCTCACGAAGGCGCTCTCCCCATCATGGCACCACCCAAGAGCTCTTAGTGGAAATGTCTCATGTGCATTGTGCAGCGCATGACCTCAGGCTTGACTTGTGCCTCCTCACGTTGACAGGGTAGGCTCAGGTGGGCCTGGGCACTGCCCTTCACATGAGCTTCAAGTTTCCCATCGTGTGAATGAGACAACCGGACCCACCACAGGTGAGTGACAAGTGAACACAATTCTGCTCACTGTGGAGCTACAGTGTTCCCATGTGGAGCAGGAGCCTTCTTGGCAGGTCCCAGTAGAGTGAGGCATAGTACAAGCAATGACACCACGGGAGCAGATGACATGTAGACCAGGAGTCACCTGGCCACACAAGTCACAAGGCTCCTGCTTCTTCCCCCGGCTTTGACCGCCTTAGCAGCCAGCATATGACGCCAGCCAAAGTTGCTTGCAGAGGTGGGATGCAGGCCTTCAGCATCACGCTCCAGTACGGGCCTCATCCCTGGAGCCTGAGCAAAGTGGTTGTGCTCCTCTGACCCTCTCCTTCTTCCCACTGGGAAGTGGGCTTGCTGAGTCTGACTCAGTTGAGGACACAGGACAGCACAGCCGGCCAGAAGTGGGCACCAAGCCCACAGAAAGGAGATGCTGCCCACCAGGAGGCAGCCCAGAGCTTAAGGAGTCCTGCAGTTAAACTCCAGTGAAGGAAGTGGCACACTTCGGCTGGCCATCTGGAATATCCTTTCACTGTAGCCATGAAGAGGCGTGTGCTGGAGGCACCTGCGATGACACACCCCAGTGGGAGGATGGAGGAGGATCCAGACAGGCGTAGTGAAACCAGACCATCACTTTTCAGTGGGGCAAGTCTCTCTGACTGCATGGCTGTTTCCTCCTGTGTCAGCTGGGGTGCTAAGCGCTTACTTAGTAAGGTTGGCCCAGGAATCAGAAATCAGGATTTAAGACTCGTCGACCAGGCATGGGCACATATTGTGGGGAATGCAGAATACCCACAATTAGGAGGCAGAGGCAGGGACATGGAGAGTTTGAGGCCGGCCTGGGTTACAAAGCAGAACCTCTTGAAAGAAACAATGACCTGTCAGGACTCGGGGTGCAGCTCAGCACAGTGGAGGCAGAGCGCCTGCCTAGCATGTGTGAGGTCCTGAGAGTGATCCTCAGCACCAAAAAGTGAAATAAAGGGCCAGAGAGATGGTTCAGTGGCAACCTCAGTGCCAAGCCTGATGACTCCATTTCAGTCCCTGGGACCTACATGGTAGGAGGAGAGAACAGAGTCCCATAAGATGTCCTTGGACCCCACTCGGGTGCCACAGCTCACACATGCACACTCATACAAATAAATGCAAAAATCAATTTAAAAGAAAAATACTTCAGATGTACTTAGCAGTGTGCCCCATGAATGGCAAATGCTGGCAAACGGGCTTCAGTCACTCTATGATGCCCTGTTTCTAGGATCAGGCTCCACGACCTGGCAAACCTCTCTGAACCTCTTCGGAATGCAAACCCCACTCCACACCCCACATTTCACCTTTTTCTTTCTGAGAGATTGTGCTGTGTAACACATACTCCTCCAAATGCTGGGATGACAGTTGTCTGCCACTAAACCCAGCCCACCGAAGTCCCTCAGGGACCCTGGGTTGCTGCTCCTTGGTAGAGCAGACTGTACGCCCTCACACAGGAGTCCAGCAGATTCCTGGTAGTACTGAGCCCGTCAGTGACGCCTGGCTGTGTACCTGTGAACTGGGTGATTGGACTGTGGGGAGTGATCTCCTGGTAGGCTCTTTCCCACACTTTCATGCCTGTAAGGGCCACAGGGGTGTCTTTCCTAATCTCTCCTTTGGTCTCTCGCTGAACCCAGCGCTCACTGGACAGGCATCAAGCCTCGGATCCTGTTCTCTCCTTGCCACTTCCACCCCATCAGACAGCCCAGGGGTTGTTCTGCCCCCCTGGGTACCAAGCATCCAAACTCAGCCTCATGATGGCACAGAAGGCACTTCACCAGCCCCCCTTTCCCTTCATCTACACTCTGGCATAATTCCCATGACCCCTAAGCAACAGTTTTAAGGACCCATCCACCCAGCCAAAATGGCAGAGTCTGTGAAGCAATGTGGCCTTCAGTTTCTCTCCCTATAAAGTGAGACTCCAAGGACTGTGCAGGGCAGGTGCACACACAGGCTGTGTGTGTGAGGAGACATACAGGCTCTGTGTGCGAGGGGATATACAGGCTGTGTGTGCACCTGTGTGTGAGGGACATACAGGCTGCATACATAGCAGGTGTTGAATGATCATCAGCCACAGCCTTCAAAGGCAGATGCCGGGAAGTTGGGCTGGATGGCGGGGAGGCTGACATGGGACTCTGCCCTCCACTTACTGGAAACAGCCATGTTATGATGCTGAGCACCCACCCTGGCAGCAGGAGAAAAGCTCATTGTTTCCCATTTCCCTGACAGTGCTCAACGAGGGTCACAGAGCCGCTGTGGGCAGCTGGCACTGGCCCCACAGCGGCCACCATTGTGTGTGTGGCTGATGGCTGCTGCCCAGGCCTGGGCGCCCACTTTGCTGTGGGGGAAGGGTGTGGCGGATGGAGGCCGATGCTGAGGCAAGGAGTGCAGGCTCCACGAGGGACATTGAGAAGGGGAGCAGGCCTGGTGTGGTGGTGTGCCCCACCACCCCAGATTTCTGGAACCTGATGCAGGAGGATCATGAGTTCTAGATCTTGGGCTATACAGTGAGACCCTACCCCAAAAGAGAAGAGAGTGTCAGGTGAGTGTGAACCCAGATGGGTGGGCAGCAAAGGCCTGGGGCAGCATGCTGGAGGCCAAACCAGCCAGTGGCTCCCTGTGGTTAGTAGGTCTACCTGCTACTTCAGAGCCAGCTGGCTCTGGGTATTAACTGTGACTCTGATATGACTATGACAAGTGACTTAAGGACTCTGAGCGTGGGTCCTTCACTCCTTATAGCCTAGGTGTTGTGCAGAGAGAAGACCTCTGAGTACAGTGGTGTGGGGTCTGCTCCCCATGGCTTACATGGGGACCACAGTCAGAGAAGACAGACATCACAGCCAAAGTGGGTAGCAGGGCCGGGGAGGTAACCCACTTTAGTTTCCTAGAATGCATCTGTTGGTGTGAACTCAGAGGAAACAGCGCTGGGGCAGGAACCCCAAGCTTATGGTGGCCTTTCTAATAGTTAAACCTGTGCTGGCCCCCACCCTGGGCAGAGCACAACCTGTTCCCACAGCCGGACCAGCCACACCGCTCCCCCAGAATGCAGCAAGCCACCTTTCTTGTTTGACTAGTTTTGCAGTTCCCCCAAACTTGTTTTGCCTCCTTGAACTGTCATCAGTTGCCTGCTGCCTGGAGGGAGAGGGGGCACCTGGATGGCTTTGTGCTCTGTTCTGTGACCCTAGAAGGAAGGGAGCTGCCTTTAAAAACAGGAAGGCCCACAGGGCCACCACCTCCTGTCATCGCATAACCAGCCCCAGCAGGCAGGCTGCATATAGGAAAGCACTGGGTTCTGAGAACATGGATGAAAGACCTCCTGTGCCAACCACGAGGTTCCCCTCAACCCAGAAAGGTATAAGAAAAGGTCAATACAATTGATTCTGAAACCCAAGAACTTCTTATAAGACGCCATCAACGATGTGAGGCAGGGAACAGAGAAAATAAAGGCCACATATTACTCTGAATATTAAAGAGTACTTACAGAGCAATAAAAAAAAAAAATTCTTTGGAATGAGGAATTCACAGATAAACTAAAAAGGTGCTTAATCTCAATGATAAAGAAAAAAATACAACTTATCTCTCCACCAACTAAGCTATTTTATGAGTACAGCAGCCTCAGTTTTAATCATTCTGGTAGCATGTATTAAAACGTAGCGCAGGAGCTAGAGACGGTCAGCAGCTAACAGCAAGTGCTGTCCTAGAGGGCCTGAGGCCAGCTCACGGCACCCCTGCCAGTGGCTCACAGCTGCCTGTAACTCCAGCATCGAGGAACCTGATTCCCTCTGTGGGCACCCCATGTATATACCATATTCACACACATACACACACACACACACACACACACACACAAACCCTCACAAATGAACATTAATGTTCCTGCTTTCATAGAGCAAGCCATTTGTGACTTTCTAAATAGGCTCATCTAAAAAACATAAAGGGGTGGCCTGGGGATGTCACAGGCTTGTTCAGACCTTCACCACGGGGCACTATGCTGTATGTCTCCCAGCTTGGGATATCTTTTTTAAAAGCATATGGGTTGTTGGTGACTAATTTTTTCCCTGTTTTTCCTACTGAGTCCAGTAGTTACTGGGAAAACACACCGCAAACAGACAACTTTCAGAACTACCCGAGAGACAGAAGGAAACGGGTGCCAGGAGAAGAATTCACGTGTGCCTTGTGGGACAACTGTGCCTGGACAGGGGCCACCTAAGACTTCCTGCCTGGGTCCCTGCCATAGCCCAGATGGCTGACATTGCGGAGAAAGCAGAATTGTCCAGCAGCCAGCTTGTCACTACATGCCACCCATAAACATTCATTTCCTCCTTTTCCGCCTTCAACACAGTTGAAGGACACAGGCCACTGTGCTCAGCAAGGCTTCAGCCCAGCTGGAGTGTGGCTGCGAGGTGAGGACGGGGCTTGGTGAGCATGCACAGGCCCAGTTTCATTACAGTACAGTATCCAGCATCGCAACATGGCCATTGCCAGCATGGCCATCACCCATGCACTTAGAGGGCTGAGGCAGGACAAAAGAGTTCAAGGCCTGCAGCCGCCACCACGCCTGGCTTTTTATATGGGCTCTGGGA